GCATTTGTAACAGATCGGTCATTCAGATGACGAGTGCAGTGGAATTCTTCGCGATTTTGGCTTCTCGGGCTCTCTGAGGCACTCAACTTTTAAATGCCATTTCTGAAGACCATTCCTCCCAGCAGGAAGCGCAACATGACCAAACAAAAGTCCTTCTGTGCACTCTGATGGGACCGTCCCAGAATGAGCATTCCATTCTTGGCATGAAATTGTCATTGTTCATCATGACAATGAGGTCTGCTGTCCTCAGTGAGGCCCTTGGCTTTTGCATGTGCGTGATCGCTGCTGAAACCACTGGGCGACATGTTTCCGGCTGTCGTGAGGCATTCTTCTTGTCGTCCAAGACCACCACGAAGGCCCTGTACTTTCATTTCTGAGTTGCAAGGAGGCTTTTCAATGTTGGTGCTCAGGTCTTGAAACAGCCTATGCCAGGCAGATCCCCCAGCCCGGAGAAGGCCCTTCGGACATGTTTGATGATTCTTCATCGGCCATCGCCATTGCAGCCACCATCATGTGAATCAGGATGCTGCTATTTTGTTGCTGTGTCATCATGTGAATCAGGATGCTGCTGCTGTTGCTGTGTCAGACTCGAGGGCAGCTCCCAGCGAATTGGGGTCCTGGGTGTCTGTTGGGGAACCCTCGTGTCGGGGTTGGCTTTCCACTTCATATGCTCAGGCCACAAATTAGTAAGTATTATAAGGTCAATGTGAAGGCACGGTAGGTCCAGATTGTTTTTTTCTAGTGGTGGGCCTGTCGGTCGCCATGGCTAAGCCATGGGCAAGTTCGACAGCATCTATGCCAGTGGCAGTGTTGAGAATCCGAAGAAGCGGAAGTTGGCTTCTGATTCTGGTCCGTCTGTGACAGAGTCAAAGGAAACTTCGCCCAAGAAGTCAAAGGCCACTTCGTCCAAACAGCCCAAGGCCGATCCTAAGCATCGCAGCTACCGCCAGCGATGGGATCAGTTTGGGGAGAAATGGCGGCGGGAGTGACACGGACGATCTCAGCAGAACAGTTTAACACACTGCTGGTATGATTATTGTTACATGATGACAATCCTATTACATTTTAAAAGTCGTTTCACACACGAGATCAGGTACGGCTTCAACGTCTTGACAGTCATGGGCAAGCCAGTCAAGGTTACATGGCTGTCGCACAAGGCAGGGCATGGAGTGGGCTGCTCCATTTGCGCTCACCTGCGCGAGGAGGCCGAGAAGCTGGCCCCACGAGCTTCGCAAAGGCAGAAGTCTCGGTTTGCGGCTTACAGCACGAAGTTTGGACGGTACGAGGTCCGCACTCCAGACATGGGGGCCTCTCTGTTTCGCCTCCATGCGGCCTCTCGTGTCCACAAGCGTGCGCTTCGCTTCTGGTCCCAGCCACCCGAAACTTTGCTGGAGGTCCTCCCAGAGGACACGCAGGTATTCGACAAGCAAACACGGCTTCTCCGTGGCTGCGTTCCTCAAATCGGTGACTACATGTATGTCTGGCGCACTGCTTCCGGCTTCATTTTAAGTGACAGTGTTTATTCCCGTACAAAGGTGACAGGTGCAACAAGAGGTTTCTTTCTGTGGGTGACAAACCTGACGCCCAGGTTCGCAGCTCTCTGTCCTTTTCGGCGGCCGCTCAAGTGCGTGGCACATTGCACTTTCTGCAGATGGCCAACCTGCGGCAGAAGGATGGAGCAGACGAGGAGCTGCACAGGAAGACTGTGAAGAAAATAGCACTCGTCATTGCGGAAGCTTTGACAGAGGATGTGCGGCAGACGCTGTTGCGTGCACATTCGTGGTCATTGAGTCTGGATGACAAAGCTAACTGGCGATTGTTCAATTTCCAGGCTTCCGGTGCAGAAGTAGACGGTGGCACGGACAGGCAGGTGATCACGACCAAGCAAGGCCTTCTGGGTGTGCGGCAGCTCTATAGCAAGGATGTTAGGCCTCTCTATGACACAGAAAAGGACTACTGTGAGAAAGTAACAGAGTCTGTGTCCGAGATGCTGCATGAGATTTTGGACAACGAGGAGGAGTTCGCCAAAGTGTCCCGAACTCTGACTGGCATCGTTGCGGATGGAGCTCCGTCGATTCAGAAGGGGCTGCGTCATGTGCAGTCCGTGTTCCCTGGGCTTCTCTTCATAGGACGCGATGCAGCGCACGCTGCACGCAAGTCAACACAGGAAGCATGGACTCGAGAGACCTCCTGCGAAGAATTCTATACCAGAATCTGGAAAGACAAAACGAGTCTGGTTCCTACGATCCAGAACAGCTTTGTTCTTCGATCCCAGCTGGAGGCTGCACAAAGGCTAGTCGTGGCCAAGAACGGTTCTCAAGCAGCAGGCCTCTCCACCATTTTGAGGCATTTCTCTTACGCGAAGCAAAGGTACGAGTCCCAGGCAGGACCACAGCTGGCATACGTCCTCCTTCTGACTAGCATCAGCCTGCTGCTGGCCGTTCGTGCTTCTGACTTGAAGCTGCCGAAGAAGGATCGGGACATGGCCGCTCAGTGGCTTCTTCGACTGCCGTTTCAGGAACTCATCGTTTGGATGTCCTGGGATTAATTTAAGGTATTGATCTCTCTCTCTCTCTCTCTCTGTAGCTCTTCCTGACCACACCATCCTGCTCAGGTTAGAGGGAATGACTCCCAGCCACGCGGCAGTGGCCGGCCTCTCCGCTGACTTCGGCTGCGAAGCAGCAAGGCTGGTGCGGATGTTTGACACGACATCTCGCGATCCAGCTACATTCCGGCGGATCATTCTGGATTGGACCCGCAAGATGGAAGAGCTTTTCATGAAGGGGCGGATCCTTGAGGAACCCCCCGAAGGCCGACATGTTGCAGGTCACTCCTATTGCACGGCAACATTCGTGGCTATCACAAACTTCATGGAGGCCGCTCCCATCATGTACAACCAGAAAGTCCATTATTTCTGGTCCTCCGATGGGAAGGCTCAGGTCCTCGACGCTTTGGATAGCCTCCAAGTTGTCTGCAAGGCCTCTCTGACCAGGCTTTCTGCTGAATTCCAGGATAACCTCGTCAATGACTTGTGTGTCTTTGACCTCAAGGCCTGGAAGACAGCCAAGGCCGCTCCAGATCAGTACGAGGCTTTCCGTGTGACTGCAAGGAAGCGGGTCGTTCGTTTGTGTCGAGGTTTGGGGTGTGATGCTGAAGCTTGTTGGCAGCAACTCCATGGCTGTGTGGAGTTTCTGCTTCGTCAAAGTGACTGCCAGCAAACACTTGTGTCGTCCATGTACATTGACAATCGGCCAGTGTGGTCGAAACTGCTGGGCCAAGACCTGCGGCCGGTCCTGGGACATGAGGCGCCCGAGCTTCTCAAGGTTTTCCATGCGTACAATGCATACGGCAGTGGGACAAGCTGTACCGAAAGAGCGCTGGGCTGTGTGAAGACACAGCTGGAAAGCCATACTGGGCCGCTCGACGACCAGACCGTGATTGCTCTCACACGTGTGGCGTGGACAGGTCTCTCCGAGGCCTCGTTTTGCACCGTCCCGAGCCAACGAGCCGACGATAGCTTCAAGGCCGCTTTCTGTCTTGTGTTGAGTTTGGATCTGAAGTTTTCCATTAATAGCTAATAACATATCAGCCCAGACCCTGAATCTTGAACCGATATCTGGGTAGGCCACTGTGGCTGCGGCAGCCACGCCTTTGACGCTGAGATGCGCTGAGCTTTGGGCCGCTCGTTACGGCCGACGCTTCGGGGTCTACAAACGGGCTTCTCCGAAAGCTCCTGCTGCTGAGGGCCATGTCAAGAAAAAGCCGAAGGTGGGCCAGATCCCGGGCAAGAAAACAACCATTGCATCCTGCAGAGCTGCTGCCTGTACCTACATTGCGAACTCACGTGTGAAGGGCAAGCTCATGTTGGGCCTCAAGGACCGACAGGAGACTAGGCTGGTGCAGCAGTATTAAATTATTTTAGTTGAATTATTGGATTATTTCTGCATTGGACCCCTACTTTAAATCCAATGGTCCTTCTAATCCCAGGTGGAATGGAAGTTCGACAAGCCGTTGAAGGAGCACAAGAAATGCACAGCGAAGCTTGCGAGTTTCGAGGTCGGAACACAAAGAAAGCGAGCCACCAACCAGAAGAAGCGACAGCATCTCCAGAAGACGGGCCGTCCGGCTGAGATCCCAAGGCCTGTGAAGGCGAATCTGTTCCCGAAAACAGCGTCGGAGCAACCTACTGGAATGATCCTGAATCTGGTGGGCCCTGACCTTGTGGCCCTTCCCAACACCAAGCTGAAAGTACTTCAGCGGCCTGATGCTGTGCGGGCTTTCGAAGCCGCGAAGTCTGTTCGGGCGATGGTGGTGCCTTCTGTGGGTCAAGGTTTTCCATGTGCATCGGCCGATTCCGTTCTGTTCGGTGCAGCCTTGGCAGCTGTGGCCTTCGGTGGCTGCATAATTGGCCTCTCCGATTGGCAAAAACACAATTGGAATGCCACTATTTCTTTGGAAGGCTCCATTTCGGCCGTGACGATGAGGGCGAGGTTGTCCGAGAGGTTTGAGGCGCGGCATAGGGACATGGTGGCGATCCTGCAGAAGCTTTCTTCTGTATCCACTTCGAGATGGAAAGTGGTAGGCAGCTCCGATACCTCTCCGAACTCGTTATCCATCAACACTATGGCCGATCTCGCTCTGTTCCTCCAGAGGGCCCAACGCATCAGTGGGGCCGCTCAGGTAAGCGGCGTGTATTTCAAGTGAAAATACGTGGGAGCCTGCACAGGGACAGAGAGGGCAAGTAAGAGGCATGACTTTAAATCCAGAGCTCGGGTTTATTCCATGTCTGTCGTGCCAGGTCTCTCCATTCGAGTCTGGACTGTGTGATTGACATTGACCTTCGTGTGATGGCCGTGGCCTCGGCTTAAATGGCTCACTGCTGAAGCCTGTCAGTGTTTGCTTGCATGGCATTGCTCTTGATCCTTCTTCCCGCAGGTCTGTCCCCTTGCTCAAATCCGAAGCTCTGGTTTCAACTCAATCTTACTTGACTCCAGGGAGCCATGACTTCTTACTTTGCGGCCGTGCCCAACATCCCAGAGCAGAAGCTGCTGAATCTCAAGGTGGCGGCTCCCTGTGTGCTCTACAAGTCCAAGATCGAGGCCCTCTTCGCCGCTCGGTTCAACTTTGCATTGCTATACGTAGATTCGGATTAAGTCTGCATTTTGGAAATCATGACTTCGCTACCAGGCTCACTACTTCAAGCTGGGGCGGTCGCTCGGCTTCACGCCGTCTGATTCGTCTCCGAACGACGATCGTCTGGCCTCCGCCAAGGTCGCTCGGACGCTGGAAAAGCCCATGGCGATTTTGGAGGTCAGGCTGGGCCCAGAAATCCAGGAAGCGTTCGCCAGCGGAAAATTGTCGCCGAGTGGCAAGGTCCTCCACCTCAATGTCCCGATGGTCGTTCAGGGCGACTCCTCAAGGAGTGTACAGCTGTTGGGCCATCCGATGATCAAGGACATCTATCTCCACTGTGAGCAGGTCTTCTCCACGGACGACAAGGTCGCTCCACAGCCCGAGGAGGTGCCACCGAATCATCTGATGATGTTCTGGTTGGTGCTCAAGGCAACAGCCTCTCAAGATGCAATTCCGGGCCAATCCGATGTCCACGAGGGGCTCTTCAGATACCTTCAGAAAAACACGAAGCCCGCCGCACGAAAAGAGGAAGATGGAGCAGGCACAACGTGGGTTCTCTTCACAACACCAGTGTCGAGCCTTCTGGCCTACCATGCTCAGCAGAAGGCCACAAAAGAAAACCATGATGCTGAGCAGTGTGAGGTCCTCCTCTACAAGTTTGGCCTCTCCCTGCAATCTCTCTTGGAACCCGACGAAGGCATTACAACCAGCAACATGCCCTTCGAGTCGTCCTTGTTCGGCGACTACTGGTCGATCAGAGGAGAGGATTCGAAGCTGGCGGCCTTTCTGTCCAAGGCCGCTCTAGAGACGGAGTACAAAGGCAAGGTCATCCGTGCCGGCCTCTCTGTGATCCCTGCAGATCGTCGTTTCTCCGAGCCACTCGATGTGAGAGCGGTGGTTAAGAAGATTCAGCAGAAGAGGCCTGGATACCCAAATTACCACCTAATAAAGTAGAAGACAACGATTAGATTATTACTCGGTTTCGATTTCTTACTCGCACAGAATATTACCCATGTTCCAGGAAGCAAGACCGCTTGGAGGATTTGGATGACACGATCAACATGTACAGCGAGAGGCGCCAAAAGCTGGCTGATTCTGAGTGAGCTGGGTGGCCTGGCCAGGCTTCATTTTTGATTCTGGGCCTGCCATATATGTGCCCATGCTTTCTCATCTGGCAAAGGCCGCTCAGGGGCAGTCATTATTGCCGACCGCAGCAGCAAATCAAATCTCACGAAAACTGTGCGTGCTATTGACTCCGGTGCGATCCGATCATGTTTCTGCACAGCTGTGGCTTGTTTCTGTCCCCCCCCCTCAGGTTGGACGATCTGCTGGCAAGGCTGGCCCTGCGACGTTACTGTAAGTTGGGTTGGTTACATCTGCACAGCTGTGGCTTGTTGTTGTCGCCCGTGTCAGGTTGGACGATCTGCTGGCAAGGCTGGCCCTGCGACGTATTGCAAGTTGGGTGGGTTGTGTTGCTGCTTCAATTGCCTGGCAGGCCCGACGGTTATGAGCGCCCGGAGGCCGCTCAGGTGATGCTTTAAAATGATATTAAATTATTTAATAGTGTCGTTGGGAAGTCACGATTTCACGACAACATAAATCATCTTAGAAGGCTTCCTAGCAGGGTCTGTTAAAGCAAAGGGATTTCAATTGAGGATATCTTTCTCGGGGGTTTGGGTGTTGTCAAGTCTTCGGTCTTCTTGAGTTTAAGTTAAGGCTTCCTGGCACTACCAGTGACAGGGTTCAGACTGTGGGGGTCAGAAGCAGGCAATCAGGTAAACTATTTTGAATAATTAAACGAGGACCACCTAGTTGAAGGGAAAGGGTCGCTCTGAACTTAAAGGGAATAATAATAAGGATGATTTCTTTCTCGGGTATTAGGTTTTTGTTTTGGGCTTTGCATATTCTTGACTTTTAGGGCTTGTTGGTAGCAAAGGGTACAGGGTTTAAACTTTGGTGTTTACTTGAATCCACAAACCCTAAGTTTACTTACACCCACAAACCCTAAATCTAACTAAACAGCTTCCTGTTCTTTTCAGAACACGGAAGCTGTATGAGCCTGTCGAGACCCGAAGCCCCCGGTCTTTTTGGCTCAGTCCCGCTGTGGCAGGAGACTGTGCCAGAATTACCGTTATCGACTCCGGCCTAAAGCCCAAAGCTGCGCCCAAAGAAGACTTCGAGGCCCGAACTAGAAGCGAAAGCCAATTACTGGCTGATCTAGCCCCAACCCATGTCCTGCCTCGAGCCAAAGCCGCAGAGGGCCTTGCGTTCGCAATCAAGCAAACTTGCATGGAAGCCAAGCTAACGCAGCCGCTTGCGTTGAAGAGCACGAGACGCCACAACTCCCAGCCATCAGATGCCAGATGCCAGCCCTGGGACAGGGGTGACACAGGCCGCCTACCGGCAGAAGCCTAAGCCGTGGCAGTCGGATGAGCTCGGCATTTGGTTACGGAAGGAATCGCAGGCTCTTGGCTCTGTGGGCGTTCCAGAATCACGCACTGGACGACCCGACAAATGAGTCCCATGGGTCCCCGTCTTCGTCAGATGTGATTGACCTGGACTGACCGGCGCTGCAGCAAACCCATGGAAAGAAGCGCAGGAATGCTTTCAAAAAGGCATATTCACTGATTAATGGAGTCAGCTGCGATCCAGATCGCGTCAGACATGACCCACTCGACGCCTTCGCACTTGGCCGCCGAGCGGCCACCATTGCCGTGGCTCGACTGCTGTCCGAGGACGGCCCGAGCTTCAAACGCCCGGAGGGCAAGGCATCTGAGCTGGGAGCAGGCAAGGCCCTAAGCCCTAAACCCCAAGCACCTCAAGCCTCGAACCCTTGCTCACTAGCCCTACAGCCCTTAATAAGCCCAGGCCTCTCCGAACCCTAACCCTAAACCCTAAACACTACAGCCCTTAATAAGCCCATGCCTCTCCGAAACCTAACCTAAACCCTAAACCCTACAGCCCTTAATAAGCCCAGGCCTCTCCGAAACCTAACCCTAAACCCTACATCCCTTAATAAGCCCGTGCCTCTCCGAAACCTAACTTTAAACCCTACACCCTACAGCCCTTAATAAGCCCTCCCAAACCTAACCCTAAACCCTAAACCCGGTGATATGTTTCTGCAAATTTAATGATGACTTGTGGCCGCCTCAGGTCGAACCATCCTCACATCGACCTTTCCGTCGAGACGGCCTTCCGAGGCCAGGGCCGGCTAAGACTCATGCAGGGTTTGCTCTTTGCAGGATTGCCTGATAGCCAGAGGTTCTTGATTGTAAAACAGCGACAATGCAACAATTTGACTGGCTCGCTGGCATTCTCCTCCCAAAAGGCCCCTCCAGGATAGCTTTTGCAGCTAGAGGGCCTCTCCCTGACTTGGCCTTTTGTGCGCCATGTCTTGGCCGTTCGGACAACTACCTGGGCTGATTTCCGCCGAGGCCCATCCCACCAAAGATGGCTTCTCTGCTTATTCATGCAATATTCAGCTGGGTGCGCGGGAATGGGTGAAATTCAATGTAGACTTCGGCCGCTCCGTCGACGACCAAGAAGGGCCGCTCCAGGTGAGGTATCATGGTACCTCCTGGAGACTAGCATTGGCCGTTCTACATGCTGAAGGGAAGTTCGTTTCCGGCCCGAACGGGCACGGGGGCGCCCACGGTCTGTTCTCCACCGATTCTTTGGGCGACGCGTGGTCAAGGGTGCGGTCAGTCGACGAACAGCACGACCAGGCCGCTCGCGACCCACCAGGCTCTTCTGGCCTGCCAGGCCCCTCCGGCCTCTCCCCAAAGTGTCTGGTCAGATCCATGATGGCCGTGGTGCTGGAGTTCCGTGTACCACTGGGGCGGCTCAAGTTTTATCAAGGCCTCTCCGGCCACGTGGCTGTCTCACGACAACCACCAGGCGAGGTGGTGGAGGGCGTCGAGCTCAAGGCCGTCCACATCAACCTCGCGTCTGTGGCGGAGCTCATGGCCGTTCCCGACAACGGTCTCATCATCGACGGCCGCTCCACGTTTGGCTGCAGCAACGTGGTGAGATGTGGTCGCACATGCAAGGACCCTTGGTCGACCCCCGGCTGGAGCCGCAGTGGAAGTGGCAAATCCTGGTTCTGTGAACGCTGCGGGCCGTTCTACACAAACCGATCCTGGAAGCTGGCACTCCGGGATTGATTGGCCACTCCGGAACTGTCGGCAGCCAACGCCCCTGGAATTGGTTTTCTGCAACCGTTTTTATGCACATGGAATGGCCGCTCAGAACTGAGCTTCGGCCGCTCTTTATGGGAATGCGTCCATGGTCACAGGCCATGTTGCTGAAATTTATCACGGTAGCTCAGATGTTGTACAGCACAGCAAATTGTGCATCTGGCCCAAGTGATTCGAGTCGACATTGAACGGGGTTTCGGAAAAGTCCATTTGTGCTGCAGCTTTGGAAGCAACTGTCTGCCACAAGCCCTGCATGACTCTCCACTTGTGTCAATCGCAATCCTGGGCAGGTGCTCTGGCTGGCCGCTCCCATTCTGATCGTGGTGCAGTTGGATAAAAAATGTGCAGCGTCGTTCGAGTGTATATTTGAGCTTGAAACGGCCTGCGTCACATAAATAATGAATATATTATCTGCATATTTATATATTGAAAAATATAATTTATTATGTTAATATTTATATATTAATATATATATTATATATAATATGTTTATATATATATATATATATTATATTGAATTCTTCTTCTTCTTCTTATTATTATTATTATTATTATTAATATTATTATTATTGTTATTATCATTATGAAAGATATATAATTTACAATATATATATATATATATATATATATTTGAGATTATATATACATATTATAGATATTATATTAATATATTTTTATCTATATATAATATAATATAATATAATATAATATAAAAATATATAAAATATATTAATCTAATATAACATAATATAATATAAAATAATAAAATATAATATAATATAATATAGTATAATACAATATAATATAATATAGTATAATATGATATAGTATAATATGATATAATATGATATAATATGATATAATATAATGTAATATATTATAACATAATATCATATAGTATAATATATATATATAGATGTGTATATATATATGTATATATATATATATATATATTATTTATAATCTATATATTATATATTATAATATATATATATATATATATTATATATATATATATATATCATATGTTTTATATCACATATATATATATAGTGATTGTATGTGTATATATATATATATGTATGTATGCATGTATGTATGTATGTATACATACATATATAACATATATAATAGTGTATATATATATATATGTATATATATATATATATATATATATACATACACATATATACATTATAATACCGGGACCTACGAATATTTTTCGGGGCAGGGCTGAGGCCAACCGAGTATAGTTTTTGGTTAAACAAAGAAGGAACTACAGTCGAGACTTTAGTAGGTTTCAGGGTTCCTGCATTCCTGAGCCCTTTTTTTGCATGCAGGATCAGTCCTACAGCATGGCCCTAAGCCCGAAACCCCAATACACTCTCGGCCTCGTGGGCATGCGACTTCTTCCCAGGAAACGAGATCCTCACGAAGCTCAAAGCAGACCTGATCAATGTGAAGGACCAGTCTCGAAACCGCTGCAACCCAAACCTCATGTGGGTAGTTCTCTAAATTAGGGTCCCTCATTTACATCTATAGGTCCCACCACGTCGTGCGGAAGCCTGATAAGAAGGGCCCCATTTTTCCGAACTCCCCCCATGCACGATCCGAAACCCCGAAGTTTGGCAGACTGTAGGGGTTTTGCAGACTGTAGGGGTGGGGCGAAAGATCTCGAAGGAAGCTTGCCTTTGGACGGCTTTCTGTAGCTTGCCGTTATGCATGTCTGGGGCAGCACTGCAGCACTATTGGGTTTGTCACAGTTTGCCTTGTGTTCCAAGGCAGTTTTGCTATTTAGCTGCTGGAGGCAGCTGCTGATGTGCTTGTACTGTTGGTCTTCGCACTTCCTTCGGTAAAGTGAACTTCAGCTGCAGGCATTAGCGTCTTGTCAAGACTGCTTGGTGTCC